TATGTATGTATGTATGTGTGTTTGTTTATTTGTAGAACTAAATGGCAATTGCCACAATATTAGGCTTGTAAAACATTAGCAGTACTCAAAACTAAAGTTTTGCTTCTTCTATTATTAGAATGCAAAAGCCACAAAGGAAGTTATGCCAAAGCAGAATTTGAATAAGTTCTACAAGGGAATAAAAAAATTAAAGGAATCAGACTAATTTGATACTTGAAACAGACTTGATTGTTTGAATTAGTTTTTGTTTTACCATTATCTTTGATTTAAATTGAAATATCAAATTAGTCTGAGTACTTCAAAATTTCAATTCCCTGGTAGAACGTAAGGAATAAGGATATTTGTACATTTCAATCGGCAACTTCTGGGAGTTACAAATCTGTGATGTTATTGTGTTGATCAGAGCATTAAAAGCTTTGGAACTGTTATAATATACAACTTAATATGCAATGATGTTGTACGATATGATTTTGTATATGATCCTATGCWAAATGTTTTGGTACAATGCATTGCAATACATTGTTATTTTTTAATAAAATATTGGTTCCTTGGAGAATTTTTTTTTKGGGGGTGGGGCTTGTGGCTGTATCAGTAGCTGCCTTCATTAAAGATTCACACTTGAATAAGATTTTAAAACAAACTTATAGAATGCAATTATGATCTACCAGGAAGACTCATTATTACCATTTAAAAAACTATATATACAGTATTAAATTAGAAAAAAATACGAGGAAAAAGAAATACAGCATTCCACCCTAAATGGAGCCATTGTGTCATTACAATTTCCTTTTCAGCTCACAATGGGTCACACACAGTCAGTAGTTCTGATGCTCACGTTACAGAACATTTTGTAGCTCAAACAACAATTTTTCATCATAAATACATCTTCCTTGTGAGTCCGTGTCTGATCCAGAGTCAGTACCTCCAGGTAAATCTCACCTCCACTTTGCTTTGACCTTGCATCCTGGCCCTTTGAGGCATTGCCTTACAGTGGGTCAGCACTACATTATCTCAGCAACTCACACACACACACACACACACACACACACACACACACACACACACACACACACACACACACACACACACGAAACAACAACAAAGAAAACTCTATGCATTCTGTGCATATTTTTCCTGACACACACTCACACACAGATGAAACGTAGGGAAACTCTCTGAGGCCTGCCCCCTACACTCTCATACCAGTTGCAAAGAGTGCTTTGTGCATCGACTGACTGTCTGGGCAGCTACTGAGCAGAGAGAGAGAGAGAGAGAGAGAGAGAGAGAGAGAGAGAGAGGCACTGGTGGGAGGGTGGAGATGGAGACAGCAAGGGAAAGAATCATTACAGAGAGAGGCAGTCCCAGACAGATAGTAAAGAAGAAGAAGAGTTAAAGCCTTACAGGGGTGAGGAACAGATCCCACTAACTCTTACCGGTAGTGGTAGCGAGGCAGGAAAAGGGACTACAGGAATAGGAAGGGAAGCAGGGCTTGTGCAACAGAGAGGAAGAGAGGGAGTTGCTGTTAAAGTGGCTGAGGGAACCTGATGGGATGGCATTGATTTCTGGGAGCTGCCGACTCCTGGGTCAGATGGCGTCTTGCTGTTGCAGACCGCTCCTCAGCTGCTCCTGCTGCCGACCGCTCATCAAAGTCTGCCTCTCCTCCTTCACAGGTCGGTCCGAGCCCGGGCACTCTGTGTTCTGCTGTCATGAGACGGACATTCAGATAGGCAGGGACATAGGTCAATATACAACATGGGTAACTTGTTTAGCCAAGAAGGTAGGAAAGGGCATGGTGTGATCCTGTAGTGTAACAGCATAACTCTGCATGTGTTGACTCAAGCAGTCCTGTCTGTGCTAACTGTGCTCTGAAGGAAAGAATAGGCTGTTGTCCTCTTTGGCATAATGTCATGTTGCATATTGTGTTGCTCCCCATTGTCTCGTTGTGAATGCTTTGCACTGAGAGAATAATGTTTGCCGTGATTTCTTTTTACACTAAAGCATGTTAAGACAAATAAAAGTGTAACTCTTCATTAGATATTAAATTAGTTTTTTATGTCTGTTCCTTTTTGTCTGGTACTGTAATTGCACTGTACAGAAAGTATCCTCTGATGAGTCAGTATCAGGGCAGCTGAAGGTTTTTYGGTTAGTGCAATAGTGTTTGTGTGTTTTCCGGGACTGACAGCTCCTCAWACTAACCAACAGCTCAAACTTGCTGTTCCTAATATGAATGCYTCAATCCATGTTCCCCTGTAAGGCTTAAAACCCTCCCATGTCCCGAACCCCACTTTTTTTTTTTTTTGATAAATAAAATGCGCCATAGTGAGATATCTATGCAGTAAAGCCACAGCCAGGAGACACAAAACTTTTAATCCAGATCAAAAATCATTATACCTCCTATAAAGCTTTTAAACAACCTAGGAAAAAATAAAGCTTAATTCTGACCAGACTAACGAGCCAGTGTGTCACCTTAAAACAAGTTTGAACTTAAATATTTCCCAGCAGTTCATGCGAACACTATTTTTTTGCATCACTGTATCAGCTGTTATTTTGTCAGAAATATGAAGTTTTTCCTGCTGGAACTGAGCCAGTCTGGACAGGAACTGCTACAAYTAGCTGCTGCTGCTGCYATTGGCACTTACAAATAAATAAACTTAGCATWAAAATTATGGAAATTTGTGTTTGGTAGAATATTTCTTTGTTSTAACAATGCTYATTGGCAAAAATATATTAYACAGTTGCAAAGTTTGGTAATTTCACTTTTAAATGCACCACATTTTATGTGGTGAGCAGTAGAGCWGAGTATGTGAACTGTGTAAATRAAAAATTTGCCWAATATTTTCTGCTATTGCCTAACAGTGCATTTTGCTCTTGCTATTGGGCTTGGCCACAGGGGAGGCTGGGGGACACTGGTTACCTTTGAAATCTAATTGGCCACCCCCACCAGAGCTGTCAATCACTTTTTTAAAACTGGAAGCTTCAAACTCCTTACCAGGTGGTGGCAGTAATGCTCCATTAAGTTGTTTGAAAATGGCCAATACATACCACAARAAGAAGAAGAAGAAACTTCAGACTGAAGACCAATATGCAGTGTTCATCTGGTGTGTATATATATCACATGGCCATGCAACAATAACTTGTGGCCATGAGATAATTACGGCATGCATGACGCAGACATTGTTGCAGTCAGATTTGAAATACTTTGATTTTGTTTTGAACCATTCAGACATAGCCTACCCCAT